TTGAACTGGATGGAACAACATGTAGCAATTATAAATTCAGACTGAGATGTTCTGCCACAGATAAAATAGGTAAAGCGTTAATATTATACAACACAGATTTTCGAATACGCTTATGTAGACAATTTGTTACAAAAAGCTGTGAAATAGAGTCGTCACTAATCTACAAGAACAGATTCTGTGATTGGTTGAACAATAGAAAACGTTAGAATACATTTCTAAAATATGTATGCAACTGATCGCTGGTAACTTTTGTTCAAGGAAACCAATCATAGAACATGTTCATTTGAAGTTACACGGCGTGTAATACTGTAGTCACTAGAGAGTCCCTTCGCTCTCATTTGAATCTGTCTTACTGCATGTGGGACAATCTTGTGTATTAGCCACAGTTCCCGTACTGAATGGTGTATGTTATTTAACTTCCATATCTCCATATGTATTACAGCACCACGCAGCAAGCCCCAGAGCACAGGTGTTCCGACAAAGTACATCGAAAATACCTATGAATGCAGACCAGGTAATACCTAGCAATGCAGCCCAGTCTGTTGACGTACTTAAAGTGCACATTCAGTGATTAAGAATTTTACATATGTTTAACATGCAGTATACGAAATACAATATGTTTTCTTAGAGAAAAACGTCATCTTCATCGTCTTTTCGGCTGTTAAGTTACTGGAAGTAACGTCTAATAAGGCAATGCAAATCAATTTATTTTGACGTCAATTCTGGTAGCTTTAAATCCACTTGGGGGAAGCCCATGACGTCACAGCCGTTAAGGGGTTCCTGGCGCCTTATAACCATTCGTGGCGCCTTGATCGGATCAATTCGGGAGGTAGCCTCGCATGGGCTATTATGGCCCGTTCGCTATTTTCCCGTTTAGGAACTGCATCCTTGTTGTATTTGTACCTTATTAATGTAATATTAAGTTCCTAATAAAGCTGTTAAAAAAAAAATTTAAAAAAAAAAATTAAAAAAAAAAAAAAATTGCCTGTTTTTGCTTTGTTGCAGCAAGTTGCGCTTGTTACCCCTTCGCCCTTTCCCCGCCCAATTTTTGTTTTAGTTAAACTTTGTCAGTTCAACAAGTACAATGTATAGACCACTATAGACTGTATTTCCACCACTGACTCGTCAGTGTGACAGGTGCCGGGGGGATGCCTGGCAGAATTGTCATGGCGAACTCCTTTGCTGCTATTTTACCGGTTGCTGCTCTGTTGCTAATATGTTGCCATGCCAATACGTCTTGCCAGTAAGACGTTGCAGACTTCGACCACAGACGGCATCTACACACTAATACTATGTATATCTGCAGGGTAGAGTAAAATATTTAATGCACCCTTGGATCAGTTAATAATCAGTCAACCTCGAAGGCAAATGCTATAATTTAGGATTATTTACTTACAGAATTCAAAGCACGATACCCCCAGTTGCGCACGCTGCAAGCAGAGGTAACCCAAGCCGTCACAATTTCATCACGAGTTGTAAACAATGCGGGATTGGAGTATCTGAATCTTGGTCGAGATGGACAGGAAGAAAAACATCGCTTTCTTATCCAGTTTGATTTGGGAAGAGCTAGAGGCAGGCTGTTGTCGGCAACTTTACAACTCTTCTTAGTAAGCGCAGGAAATAAGGAAGATAACTTGCAACATACTTTGGAAGTATATCCAATCACAAGTACTGAATGGCACGAGTCAAACACAACCTCTGTTGTTCCATGGAATAAAGATTACCTTGGGATAGATGAAGATGTGGATAAGTCAAGGTATTTATCCGTTTACATACAGGTTAGGGTTAGGCTATGGTCAGGGGTTCTTTTCTCCGGGTTAGGGTTAGGGTTAGGCTATGGTCAGGGGTTCTTTTCTCCGGGTACTCTTGTTTTCCTCCCTGGGGTATCAACCATACCCATCAGAGACCTTCGTCAATTGGGTTAGGGTTAGGGTTAGGGTTAGGCTATGGTCAGGGGTTCTTTTCTCCGTGAATTGTGAATTGTATTTCAAATGCCTAGTCGTCTTTACATATCACCAAATGTACCCACATTTTGCATGCTTATTTTTTCACTGGAAAATGGGAACATGCATCTGTTATAATAAAAGCGTGATATTTGTAAAGATTCCCGTGACATCCAAACATATACTGAATATGATTTTCCTTAAACATTTATCTAGGGACTAGGGACTAGTCTGCGGTCACGTGTCATTAGGATAACAGCGTTCTTGACTACAGGACTTTCGAAGCGTATGTCTAAAATACAAAGACACATCACACCTGTGTTAAAAGCTACGCATTCGACATTTTCTTTGTTGGTCCAATGCCCTACCAACTGAGCTACGAGGAATAGTTGATATGAACTGGACTCAGTTCTGAAATGTTACTCACTCGAACAGACTTGACTTCGTAGCTCTGGTGGTAGGCAAAGCAAACCAAAGGTCACGGGTTCGATTCCCACAGCAATCAAGCAACTTTTCAGCTTGCCCAGTCACTCGGGGTAACGCGGTCACCTCTGGTTTGTTTAATCAACACTGTATCCTTAATCATGTTTAAATTATTTTCCAGTCATGCTCATTTGGTGAAGAATCATCATTTATGCCAACTGAAACCATTCCTGACACTCCTTATCAACCCAGTATCCTTCAACGTAAGTTCACAGTTGTGCGCATGCTCTAATTAATCTATGTATAGCGAAAGTTTTAGAGGTTGTTTTTACTCTGCTAACAGCAAAACATATTTTTACGTTATTATTTCATAGGACAGAAATGGTTGGGAGTTACAATTTTCATGTAGAACTTGGCAATCAGGTGGAGTTTTATATTTTGTTGAATTTTATTAATAATTCACGAATAAAATTCAATATTTAATAACTTGTATAATACAGCATTCTTCTTATTTGTATAATCCCCCTCGACTTTCTCTGATTAAAGTCATGCCTATACTATTTATATTAAGGCAGGAACATTGTGTCCCATCATTTTTTCAGCATCATGTAAGTGAAGAATGTTTAATCAGATATACTGGAGTTGAATAAAATCCAAATCCAGTTCTTATCATCATCTTAAACAGCAATTCTTTACTTTAGCAACTATACCGCAGCCATGTAATATCAGAATTATGCCTGTGTTCAAAAATCCTGAAGATGTCCGTGACATTGTACGATGTTGTCCCAACCATACCATGGATAACGTAGACAAGACCAGTAAGTTTCAAGTCTACATGATAAGAAGTATTATACAATTATTAAGTTTGGAATCCACTTACTGGCAGATTCTACCTGGCAATTCCGTTTATTCCCAGTCAAAGGGGTAAGTGCGCTATCATACAACTATTTCAATATTGACAACTACGCTGATTTTTTTTCAATGATGGTATACACCCCTCCTCAGATTCAACCAGTGCATGCTGAAATTATCATTGAAGACAAAACTATATGATCATGGAAAGGATAGCCAAAGCTCTTGAATTGTTCACCAGCATGGAAAAAAAATATGAAATTATTTCTTATAAAATATGGCTTATGTTAAAACATGGCCTGGTTAAGTTATATGTAAATACTATTTGACACTAATGTAAATATAACTCATATATTGATAATTACATGTCATCATGGTACTATTAAATATTTACTTTATATATAACAAATACAATCTTACTGCCACTTCAACAGTGACAGACAGTTCTTTGCACAAAAACTCAACTCCAGTAGACCTTGCAAGTGCTTACGTCACGCAATTTATTAATACAGCGCGGAAGCACTTGGGTAC